TACTGACCTCTGTCATCATTTTAGGTGGGGGAACTTGCACAATCGGTGGCTGACTAAATACTTTTTTGCCCCACTGTACATGCTTAAAAAACATATTTTTTAATTTGTTTTATTTTTTAATAACAGCAAAACCACATGACTTTAAGGTTGGATAAAGCTCATCACATACAAGACAGTTTGTTGAAGTTTTGCCAGCAGATCTTAAAATGAGAGATTCTTTAAAATGAACGTTTTCCACAGAAACAGGCTCTTTCAGTGAGATCACTAGAGTTGTACAACAGCAGTTATAATGCACTGCAGACACCAGTGGTTTTCCCTCCTCGCTAACGCGGGACTGTGACATTCCCTGATTACTGATCATGCTGTGCAAAGTGAAGTAGTTAAAATGTCTGACCATTCTCCTCTGATTTCTGACATCATCAAGACATTTTCATATAGAGAACTGCTGCTCACGGGATTTTTTTTTTTTTTTTACAAATTCTCTGTAAACCCTAAAGATGTTTGTGTGGGAAAATCCCAACAGATGCCACAGTTTCTGTGGCAGCCGGTATAGTATTAGTCAAGTCACATGGGAAAGATTATCACATAAATATTACAGAGCAGTAATTCTGCTTTAGGCGCTGACATCATCATTCCTGGTAAGAAAAGCCTTATCCTCAGCATCATATTAAGACTTTTGGGAGAGATGATAAAAACTTCTTCCACACAAACTAAACTCTGCTCCTATAGGCAGGGCAGAAGAAGCTTCTGAAATTTTTGTAAGCCCTCTTCCAGCAGCATTAGCTTTAAAAGCGAGTAAACAAAGCTCTTAGTGGCTAAACATTTATCATAGATACCCTTTATTACAGGATCACTAGTTGCTCCTGGAAACTGTAAGGTATACTAAAGTCACAAAACATCACACTTGGCTATAAACTGCACCACTGTATGCCTAAGGCCATGCTCTGATGAAGCCAACAAATCATCTACAAAAAGCAGGGATGCTACTTAATCCCAACAAGCTCCCCATGAATATCACAAACTGAATCAGAACCGCCTGACACTTACAAATTCATCGTGTGTCTGTGTGTGTAGCTGAGGCAGCTGGAAATGCAACTGGAGCAGGAGTATGAGGAGAAACAGATGGTGATTCATGAGAAGCACGACTTGGAAGGACTCATTGCAACTCTGTGTGACCAGGTAAAACACACACACGCACGCACACACACACACACACACACACACACACACACACACACACACACACACACACACACACACACACACACACACACTGCTTGTCTGCACTCTACATTGACATCTTCACCTTTCTGCATTCCTTCCTGGCTGAAGAATTGTAAAATATTATTACTACTATACTTAAACAAATATCTAATACATTCCAAAAAAAAAATTTTTTTTACAGACATCATGGTAACAACTACATGTACACATACAACTCTATTACTGGAAAATTGTGCAGAGATCAAAAGTAAAAATAATAATGTTACCCATCAGTGTGAAATGATTAATATTACTGCTGCATATGTTTAAGGTTGAGCTTATTTGGAATACTTTGTATTCTGTTTAATGTCCAGCATTGTATTTTAAAAGTCATATGTTTGCACTGGCTGTCGTGTGAGGACCATATATCAGTGGAAAAAACCCTAAACTAAACAATTGTTCATGACCTCAGAAACACAGGCCTAAATCTTGATTTTTTTTAAAAGTATATTAAAAATATCCATAAAAAATAACTAGCTGAATCGAAAGACTTGAGCAGTGTGCGACATGGCTTACTGTTAATATCTACAGTGGAATTGGTCTCTGAATGTGGGAATGAGTGTCTCATAGAATGTGTGAATCTGAAAGTGCTGCTGAGCCTGCATCTGGTCCAGTTGCCTCTTTTATTAGAGCAGACAAATTGAGATCATCATGGTTACATTTTTCCTTGCTAATGTACTAAATGAGTTACACCTTTTTTACACTCCATCTTCTCTACATCACACATTTTGGCCAAGGTGGTTTATACATGATGCGCATGCCCAAACCACGAGAAAAAAGAAAAAAGTTGCTAGCCTCTTAGGTTACCCAACTTCAGTCATTCTTAATGGGAGATGGCGCTGAGGCCTGAGCCATGCACTACTTTCCATCACAAAAGCGGCACAAATTCTGTGATAGAAAATAGTGCATAGCTCAGGAAGACTTGGAGAAATCACTGTCTGTGAACACAGCTCACTGTGCTGTCCAAATGCAGAGAAGAAGCCACAGGTTGTTTGTTCCACTGTTTGTATGCACTGTGTGTGCACTTTTTTTTGCAGACTGGTGAGCCTCTTCCCAAGTTTACTTCTGAGTAACTCTGCCTCACTAAGATGTTCTTTTTATACCCAGTCATGTTACTGAGCTGCTGCCAGTCAACCTGATTAGTTGCAAAATCGTCCTCCAGCTGTTTTGCTTTAGTACCACATCCATTTCCTTTCCAAACTTTTTTGAGATGTGTTACTGCCATCAACTTCATAAGGAGTTCATATTTTTCTTACATTTTTCTTAAATTTTCTCAGTTTGAGAAAATCTACCTTTTAACATATATGTAAAATGTGACTAAAGATTTCTCCCGTTGAAAACATAATGTCGAGATGAACAGAATCATTTTTTGGGATTTCTTTACCTGGATGATTGAGCATGCATCAAGACATTGCATTACAATATTTATATTTTACAGTGTCCCAACCAATGTTCCCTCTAATTTTTCATGTGTCTGAGCAAACACACAAACTCCCTGAGCGGACACTTGGACCACTGTGAGCAACAGCAGACGTGTGCACTGTGGTCACGCCAGCATCGAATTCATCCAAGTTACATGGTTTATTATAATAATCAAATTACAGCATTTACATTTATGTTAGACTACTTTTAATTAAATGCTTTAACCCACTTACAATGAAAATGTAAAAAAAATCTTGTTCATGACCTGTGTAGTATTTATTTATTTTCTGCTCTGACTTGTATTATGTGTATGAGTCTGTGGTCTGGTAGAGAGTCCTGTAACTCTCTGCCTGCAAAATACAGTATATAATGACCAGTGTTGGGTAAGTTACTTTAAAATAGTAACTTAGTTACATTACCCTTTACTTCTCTCAAAAGTAACTCAGTTACTTCAAGTTACTCGTTACTTTCAAAGTAACTAGTTACTAGGGAAAGTAACTTTGGTTTTACTCAGAATTCTCTTGTTAATGTGTTTCTTCCATAACTTTGCCAGTCTTCTAGCTTGCTTACTTGCCACAGTGCACTGTGCCACCTACCAATAGAAAGGAAAAGATAATGTGCATATTTCCACGAGAGAAATCCCACGCCTGGACCGTCATTGACTGCTGCCATGATTCTAGCCTACGTCACAGCGTCATGTGCGCCTTTTACATCCAACACAAAAACTGCAGTCGTGGTGCTTTCGATTGTACTCAGAACTCAGAAATTCTGCCTTCTGAATAGGAAGATGTAGGTAACACCAGACTGCAGATGAGCTGCATACAGGGCTGGACTGGGACAGAAAATCCGGGCATTTTGACTAGAGACCGGCCCACCATTATAGGAAAAATCATAAAGCCTTTGAATGAAAATAAACACTGTTGTGACAGTGATGTACACTGTTCTGATGGTATATATGCATCAATCTATCAATCGTTTGTTGTAAGATTCAGATAATTATTTTTTAAAAGCTAGACATTTTAAATGAGAATAAGAAAGAAAAGTATTTCTTTGTGCCCCCCTCTCCCTGTTAATGCCCTACATGCCCCCCTGGCAACACTTTGCTAGATCCGCACCTGCACAGTTACCAGCTGTCAGCTACCTAAAAAAGGATCCTGGTGTTATTTGTCTCTCAGAAACAGTTCATAACTTCCCTTCAACTCATTCATGTCACCTAAAAGGTAAACCTGTTTCTCCATCACCTGTTCAGCTCTGATGATCCAGTAAGGACATCTCCTGGTTTCATCTTCATGTTTCCCTCTCACCAGATAACCAAACCATATCATGACCAGCAGCTTTACAGCTGTGGCTCCAGCAAACATCAGCTGATACTAGAAATTAATATTAAATAAATTCTAACAACAGCTGATCAAGCTTAAACGTGCTGCTGTTGTTTAGCGCGACATCCGCTGGTTTCCTCTTTCGGCGCAAAGTGAGCGATAAACAAACAAGAGAGCCGATCAGCTGATCATTGATCAGTTTTCATGATTGAAGTAGAAACAGGAGAGGGAGGGGGGAGAATGAAAGAAGAAGAGGCAGCTGTGCAGCAAAGACACAGAATAACTCCAGCTTTGTGTCTTTTTCATTGTAGCTGAATTACGGGACAAACTGTTCCTTTTCACCTCAATAAGAAACGCGTAATATTTTCTCTGAATACCAGACGGGACGGTTGGCAACTCTAATAACTTATGAACAAAATAAAGTTCAACATCATTAACTTCATAGCACCACCCAGCTGTATAGAAACTCCGTCATGCTAGCTAGCACGCAGTACGGAAAAAGTCAGAATAACGAAAATAAACTCCACCTAATAGTTTTTAAATTATGGTATAGTCCACACTTTTTCCATCAATTGTTCCGTCTGTCCTGCTCACATCACCAGTGGTTGTACACGTTGTCATTAAGTGGCTTCACTCCACATCAGCCACGCCGCTTTGCTAGCTAAAACACCGGTGTCGGCACATAAGGACGCTGTCACAGCCTGTCAACGACGTTGATTAGCTGCGTATATACGAATGTGAATCGCATCATTGGCCGGACTATGGGATTAGGTGGCATCGTTCTAATCCCATACTGGAGCAGCCAGTCACTTACTGACTAACACTGCAAAACAGAATTGTTAACATATTAATTTTAATTTCAATTCAGGTTAAATTTTTTTTGTGTGTGTGTGTGCACAACACAGATTTTCTGTGCACAGAGACGTGCCAGCAGTGCGCAATTGCGCGCGCAGTTTAGAGGGAACGTTGGAACATTCTTACAATTGCAGTTGTACTTGATACTTTCTAAGGTTATTTAAGGTTGTTAAATGAAAAGTTAAACAGTGCATCACCAGCATAGTAGTATTAAGTATTAAGTAAACATTAAGCAGATTTGAATTAAAACAGAGGAAACCGAAGGATCAACTCGCAGTGACCCTGATTGAAAGAGAAGCACAAAAACACACATAGAATATGAATGATGCCCAATGAAAACTACTTGTGAGTGTGCAAAACTAGTAAAAATCACCCTATTTGAATAATCTGAATATCACTTCTAATTTTGAGTTCACGGTGATGTCCTGTGACGTCAATGAATGTGTGCCTGGAACTTATCAAAGATAGGATAGAGTTACTTTTACTAATTCAGTTATTCATTTAGAAGAGCTTTATTCTAAGGTGTCACACTTTACAGGTGGGACACAGAGACTTTGATGTTGAGAAGAAGCTAAGGAGAGATCTGAAGAGAACTCATGCCCTCCTGGCTGATGCCCAGCTTCTTCTTGCTACTATGGAAAGCTCAGGGCAGAACCTACCCAACAGCAGTAAAGACCAGATAGAGCATCTGCACTTCCAGGTACGTCCACTTTTACATTCACCTTTACCTTGACAAACCTGCTCTAGTGTCACCTGCTGCTGGAGAAACACTTCCCATGTCTCCATTTAGCTTGAGGAGAGCGAAGCAAGGCGACTTGAGGCTGAGAGCATTCAGGCGACTCTCTCCCAGGAGCTGGACAACAATCAGGCTGAGCTAGAAAACATCTGCAAGCAGAAGAGTGTGGTGAGAGTTTTATTTTATTGTGCATTGGCAGGCATGCGACCCATGGAAGGTAAAGAAGCGAAAGCACTCTTTGTTGTGTCTACTGACTTGTTAAGCTCTGAAAAAACAATGTACAACTCTAGTGATCTCACTTGCTTTGCACACTCTGTGTGTGTTTGCAACTGGAAAATAAAACATGGTGATGTGAGTGTGTTCTGATGTGCTTGATACTTACGGTCCTGAATGTAAATATTGCATATTTAATCAGACATCATAACTTTAGACACAGACTGTTTGTCTTCTTGTCTTAACTTCGTTTACGTAATACTAAAACTGCACATTACTTGAAATTAAATAAAAACATAACTAATTCTAAGCAAACTTGACAGGGTCACTTGTGATTTCATCACTTTCTGTCTTCTTATTTTGGGTACAGAAAACACTCTTTAGATTAAATAGTAAAAATGAAGAGTGTGGAGTAGTCTTCCACTTATGTTTTTGTCTTCCTGAGTGCAGGTGGATGAAAACTTAGCTCTGCTGCAGCAGGAGAAGGTGGACCTGTTGAAGAGGCTCGAAGAGGATCAGGAAGACCTAAATGAACTTATGAAGAAACACAAAGCGCTCATTGCGCAGGTACTGCTTTTTAGCTGAAATCCTTCAAATCCTGTTGATGACCTAAGTCATGATTCACTTCAGGTGACTTCCTCTTGCTTTGTCCCCTTCAGTCCTCCAGTGATATTGCTCAGATCAGAGAACTGCAAGCTGAACTGGAGGAGGTGAAGAAACAGAAACAGTCTCTCCAAGAAGAGGTATCTTTGCTTTGACAGTCAGAAATGAAAAGGATTACTCGGGGGTTTATGAACCAATTGTGCTTTTGAAATTAGCTGGGATGAGGTTGTGATGGATTCATGGAACATTTAACCTGCTTGTTGCAAGTCTGAATACACATGCCAGCTTCAGGTGGAGCACGTTCACGCTTTCTGATATATCTGCACGTTGATCCTCTAAATTTTTTTGGCTTGCAACTCAGCTCCAGCAGTGTGTATCGAGGGTGCAGTTCCTGGAATCGTCCACTGTGGGGCGCAGCATTGTCAGTAAACAAGAGGCACGTGTACGTGACCTGGAAAATAAATTAGAGTTTCAGAGAGGGCAAGTGAAGAGGTTTGAGGTAAGCTCGGATGATTCCTCTACACTTGTTACCATGCGAGAACATGCCTGCAGCTCCTACGTCTCCCGTAGGTGCTGGTGCTGCGGTTGAGGGACAGCGTGGTTCGTCTGGGAGAGGAGCTGGAGCAGAGCGCACAGGCCGAGGCTCGGGAGAGAGAGAATGCCCGCTATTACCAGCAGCGTGTGCAGGACATGAGACTGGAGATGGAGGAGCTGAGCCAGGCAGAGCAGGAGAGCAGCCGCAGACGCATGGAGCTGGTAATCACACCTTGTAATAACCGATATCATGAGCGATGGTTATTTTACTGTTGGCAAGCAATAAAATAATATAGTATTATGTAAAGTCGAAGCTGATTTTAGTAAGACTCTTTTTCACTTTAATGAAATAATTCATTTCAGTTTTAACACTCACCATGTATATCTACATGTGTTTGACCACTGCATTTAAACACATTAATGTACAATAATCATTAGTGAGTGCCAACATATTATTAGTTCACAACATATTCATTTTTCTGTTTATTAGCAATGGTTATTACAACATGTCACCATATCAGTTATCATAATAAGTTTCCTTGTATTGTCTGCTGACTAATCCTGTATCAGAAATTGAGTGAGCAATTTTTGCAGCAAACTAAATCCGGGGCAAAGACTGTGTTTGTTTGGGACTGTGAAGGACGTGTTATTAATGGCAAGTCTGAAATTTTGGTGTAACTAACCTGAAAATAAAAATAAACAAGAAGCACCACCAAAGTGCAAACCTCCACTAGGGCAGCTCATTCTCTGAGCAGCATCCCCTGTTAAAGGAACAGTATTGCATTTTGCATTTATTCATTTAGGCTTCTTTGTTATTTTTAAATGTACTTCAAGAAGTTTGTATTGCTGTAAAAATCAGATAAGGATAGCATGACAGAGGTTTGTGTACAGAAACATTATGTAGGAGCAGGTAATGGATAAAATGTATGGATATGTAAATAAACAGACATGAACAACTTAGCTTATTATATAATATTATGCTGTAGTGTATTTCTAACTAACTACGCAGCTCATTGTCAGTGTGGACAATACTTTCTTTAGAGATATAACACATTTTGGGGTCAGCTTCAAAGAAAAGTAGTGAAATGTAAAAGTGAGGTCAAAAGTCAAACGTGACATGAAATTTAAACTTTATAGGGTATTTTCTATACATTGAGAATACACATCACACTTGTAAGAATTGTAGATTCTAACTTAAAAGGCTTTTTGACAGTTTTCCATGAATAAATCATGTTGACCTTGAAGTCATCGGTGTATGGAAGAAAATTTTAATGGAACTTTTCGAGCTGTTGTGTTTACAGACAGAATGACACTGGTGGACAAAATGCTACCAAAAGCATACCCTTCTTGGCAGAGTTAAATGTGCAGGTTACAGTCTAGTGATTTTATTCATATAGCACATTTAAACACGTATCCTATTCTATTCAATTCAATTTTATTTATATAGCGCCAAATCACAACAAAAGTTGCCTCAAGGCGCTTCATAGATTCAGAGAAAAACCCAACAATCATTAGATTAGATAGAACTTTATTAATCCCTCGGGTGGGTACCCAGTTTGAAGGACCTCTGGTGCAAATACTGACCTCTTCATCCATTTAGGTGGAACTTGCATCAATTCGGTGTTGGAAATATTTTTTATATTTTGTGTGTGTGTGTGTGTGTGTGTAGTGTTTTGCACTGTGTGTGTGTGTGTGTGTGTGTGTATATACATATATATATATATATAATATTCTGTAACTCTGTAACTTCTGTCGGTGCTGTGCTTTTTTGGAAATCGAATTTCCCAGAGGA